TCTCTTAATTTTGTCCTAACTGGCTTTTTAATTTCTAAGGCTGGCTTGTGTTGCTCTTGCGGACTTAGTGTTTCAGTTGTTGGAGATTTTTGTCCTTCTTTTTCAGAATCCCTGCTTATTACTACAGCTTCAAATCTCTCTTCTACTAAGTCTTCTTGTAAGGCTTGTGGCTGCACCTCATGAAGAGAAACATATGTTTTTAAATCCTCTGTAAGGTAATCTACCATTCCTGTCATGTCTGGCTTCTCCATTTTTGTTGTCCCTTTGTCTACCCTGACTTCTACACAGGTAGGTTCAGTGACTTCTAAAGGAGCATTTCTTCTGGCCTCTTCAATTTCTTCATCACTGACAATGACCCATTCTTCTTCTACAAGTTCTTGTTTGGAAGGGGACTTCGGCAAGACATGTTCTTCTCTGGTACAGGATCCACCTCTCAGAATTTCATTTACTTTTTCTAAGTCTTCTTTCACTCTTTCAACTATTTCAAAAGGCTCTCCTGGCTCTTCTTCAGTGGGTTTTCCAAGATCTTTCACTTTAATGGAGCCTGATTTATCAGAAGGGTCAGTTGTCAAGATGGCAGTCATTTTGATCAGATCTTGTTTCATCTCAGAAACTTCAGACAACAGGTCTGGACTGGCTAGTACAGGGACTTCATTAACCAGATGGCTTTTCAGGATAGATGTTTCTGTAGATTCTGTCTCGTCATCTTTGATGCGAATGAAAAACATTGAAAGTAAAATGGAAATCAAAAATAGAGATTGGAAAATGTAATCAGGACTGAAAATGACAGTCTTTGGTTGCAGTGGTAGGAAGGTCAACAAAATGGGCCGGGAATGGTGGATCCACAAGATCTGAGGGTACAAGAGCAAAGCAAAGCTAACGGGGGGGAGGGGTGGGGGGAACAACTGAAAAGGAAAATGGCAGGAAATAACTTGCTTAACTTTATCAATATGGCACAACCACACATACATTGTCGAAGCTGTAACAAACCAAATCAGGACACCACTAAAAAAAAAACCAAAACAACAACAACAAAATTTAAAATTAAAATCAGAAGAAACACAGTGAAGTTACACAAAGATAGGCATCTCAAGATTGTTCAGATGTTACAGATCAATGCTCAAATAAAAATAAACAAGAAAGAAGGGGGAAAGCATTAGAACTGATTGAAAGTCGATTTCCTCTAAGAGAAAGCCAGTGTTAGCAAACTGTCAGAGTAACATTGGGTTAACATTTTTTTTTTCTTAATGACCAAAATAAAAAGTTAAAAGTAGTTCTGCAGTAATCTAAGATATGATCAAATATGTAGAGATCTGAATCAGCTGCAAACCGGCATTTCATCTAAGGGGATTTCACACCTAAACAATGAAACAAACATTCTTTTGTTTTAAGAGGCATGGTCCTTTCCTTGGAACATCCTCATTGACAACTAATGAATTGACTGAGGAAAGAGAAGACAGAGAAGAAAAGGAGAGATAATAAGAAAAAACTGTGAATCAACTTAGAAGTGATTTCAAAGTTTTCAAAAATGTAATGTATGGCAACCAAAAATCAGAGACAGTCACACTAGACACATACGTACAATTCATGTAAGGCAAGTTATTTCCATGCAAAGCAAAGGTGTTGCAAACGCTGCTGGGTATGTAGCTTCAGTTAAAAAACAACAGCTCTAAAAATTAATCATATAAATTAAAGATACATGAAAATATCGTGAAACATACTGTGGTGAAATATTTGCCTAATCTGTGCAATCAATATACAGTAAGCTGGATGTAGGTAATTCCCATTATGCCGTAACTGCCTGCTGGGAATATTTAATTTCATGAAGGACTACTAGAAAATGTATATTGAACAGGATGAAACATTGGAGGACTGAAGCAAGTTATGAACAGAATGCAATGCTTAGAAATGATAATTGTACATTTTTCTTTTAAAGGTAGTACATCACATAAAACTTGACACATTTCTGCACCCCAGTCTAAAAGTAGTAACGCAAATAAGGAGAACCTAGGCAATACATAATTATCTGCAATTCTCTGTAAAAAAAAAATCCATTTTGCTACACCATTCTCTTGTGCGTAATGAATGCTAAATGTTTGTGCTGTACATTAATTATAACCAGATTGCTGGGGGTGATTTTGGTGCTGAAAATTTGGTGCTTTGGTGCTGCTGTTTTTCGCGTGAACTGTCCAGTGCATACTGAAATACAATCTAGTAATTCTGTAGATTTGTAATACATATTTTCATAAATGTGAAATGGATGACTACCTCACTGGCCAGAGTCAAATCAATTAGCCTGAAGCAAAGAAGCTCCAGTGGGAAGAAAAACGCAAGTACTATCCGAACGGTGCGTGGCTGGTAGCAAGAATGCGTGCTGGGGTTCTCTGTGGCCTAGCTAGTTAGCAGAGCGAGGAAGCTGTGGTAGAATTACTACTTGAGAAAAATAAGAGAACTCCTAAACTGTCAGGAATGGTCAACAGCTGTCAGTAAATGCAGCTGGCAGAGTGCAGGACAAGGACCTTTTAGGATAGGCAGTGAGGTCATGAACGTCCCAGATCAGTACTCTTTCCTGCCGTGTTACAAGCTTTTGGCAATGACATGGCTGGCCTCCCTCACACCAGCACTGAAGCGTTTCTAGCTTGTATCACAAAGCTGTTCATTCTGCCAAGGAAGGTGAGTGTAGCACAACTGTCTCGGTGGCTGCTCTGTCTCTCAACGTAACTTTGAAAACCAAAGTGTAAATGTTTTGTTTCTAAGAATAATTATTTAGATTAAGTAGAACAGCTGAAACAGAAGACGCTGATAAAATCTCTCCGTTTATTATAGTGTTCTGGAGGTTTTGTTGTTTGATTTTATCACTTGTTTCTTTTCTCAATGGGAAATTGTTTCGGATTCAGCAGAGTGGATCTTGAAACTAAATACCTCTGGTCGCTAAGCTCTTCTGGGTCATGTTCTTGGCTTGCCCTCATTCTTTTGGATTCTTCTCATGAGAGCTGTTTACTTTACTCTTCAGCAGAGCAGGAAGGAACTGATGCTATGGCCAAATAGTAAAGTCTCTAACACTTTTCAGAAACACCAGTTCTAACCCTGGTTCTGGCTAAGACCTTTAAGGTCTATTCATGAAGGTGAATTTGGCAGTATTTTGACACGGGTGAGATCTTCTGCGTCGTCTCATAGATCCATTTCCCTTTATGTAAATAATTATTCCCAAACCAAGGACATGCACATGTGAGTCCTAGTCCTTACTGAACAGTACAACTACTGGGCCAAAAAATTATGCACTTCCGTATTACCTCATTGCAATTAAAAGTTATTTAAACTAAAGAAGACCATTAAGCAGAAGTATAAGGGAACTGGGCTAACTGCCTGAAAAGAAGTTGCTTGGTTGTAAGTATATTTTCCAGCAATTTGGGTATCATGATGCGAGCCATCTCAGTGGTCTTCAAGCAGGCACTTGTTGGTCTTTTTCGTGTTTGTTAATTATACTTCTAATGATTCCTGGGAACAGTATTTCTCTCTCACTCTCCTGCTTGCAGCTGTTCTACCTGATCCTCAAACTAATTCTCCATTAAGCCAAAGGAAGAAGTAGCAAAACTAAATTGCTATCTGACTGGTATTTTCGTCCATCCAGTATGACAGTCACCAAAAATTCTAGCTCTATGCTATGTTGAATTTAGATGAGTCTGTGATGGCCGCAACTGAGCAACCTCACCAAACCTGCATCCCGCCACCTTCCTTAGGGTGGGTGTACTGCACTGAGTAAATAATTATGTGGCAAGGGGAGCATTCAAGCCCTTTTTCACCTGTATGTTTTACTGTTCTGTTGAATTCACCTCCCATTTCCCATGGGCAAGGTGAGTCAACTGAAATTCCACTCTGCTGGCTATAGTATGGTGTGTCTTTTCCACCTTGATGAAATTGGTCGTCCTGGTGTAAATAATAATGAATTAGAGCAAAAAGCTGATGCTAATCATGTTGTTATACTATGGTACATGGTGAATACTATTTCCCACTGTTAGTTTAGCTATTTTGTCACCGTGTTATTAGCTATTTTGTCACCCTGATGTATTCTCCAGATGAAGCATTTCTGCTTTAGACACAGGAGGTTATAGGGGAATGATCATCCGTTTGATCTTCAGGATCATGGTGCTGTTGTCTTTCCAATTAAAACATGTACCTAGTACATCAAGAATAAATAACCCTCAAAATGCAATGCAGATAAGAAGGCAAGACATTGCATTTTAAACTGTAAACAAGACAGAAGTCATTCTTTTCCTAAACAGATTTAAGAAATCACTGCATTTGAAAGCAGTTCTTATTAGAGATACTTTTCAGACTGAATGTATATTTGTTTGATTTGCATCTTCATTAAAGGAGATCTTTGGCATTGTGAACCACTCACCCTCAGTTTCTAATAATAATGGCCTGATTCTGGGTATACAAAGGGTATATATGCCGTACCAAGCGTAACAGTCATATTTCCAGTCATATTTCACCACAGTAAAGGGGCGTGGGGGGGGAGAAGGGTTAAACAGCCTGATTACTTTGGACAGTATCACCTTTTTGCATGGATGTATTTCATGAGTTTAACGAAATATACTGGAGTATTAATTACGTTTTCATTAAAAGTGATACTGTCATTTATCTCAAACATGAGGCAACAATGTGTGTTAACAAATGGACAAAACAAAAAAATGGAGGGATGAGCATTCATACAAGCAAAATAGCAATAGCGGGATCACTAGGGATGTCAAAGGAAAGTAAATGCTTAGATGAACTGTTTTAAACTGTATTACTTGTTAATTTATACATTAAAATGTACTTAATTGGATAGCTGCTTTGGTATTAAATTGTTTTCTATTACATTTTTAAAGTATCGATGTTATTAGCAATAGCAGTTAAAGCTTAGCTCTCTTTCATGCTTATCTTTATTCTTAACCATCTTCCATACAAACTGCGTTATAACATTTGGAAAAAAAAAGAAAAAAAGAAAATCTTACTTTTTTCTGAAGTCATATCAACCTGGAAGAGAAAAAAGGGGGAAATTTAAAAGTTAGAATATAATCAATACACAGAAAGTCACTAGTGAAGTAGTACAGGTTGAGTCAAATCCGCTAGATGTATGGAGACACACAGATTCACTGACTTAAATGGAACCAAGAATGTGTTTAAAATAACGGTAAAAGCATGGCTTAATTTATTTAGTGTTTCTAATAACAGAAAAATGGTTACTTTGCTATAGTTATGGTCAATAGTAGATGCAAAATGTTGCAATGTATTTTCTTTAAATGCGACCAGCAGTATAGAGGACCCAGACCTTTATATTACTGGGTATGTTGTTGCATTGTTCTTCATTTATTTCTTCCTGCCTAAAGCAAAAAAGTCCAATATGGTCACCTGAAGGCCTGTGTCCCATCTGCAAGGCAACTAGTATGCTTCACACGTAGTTTCATTGTACATCTTCATTCTGAGATCACGGTTTGCATTTTTGCCTCTGTCCTTTGTGATGGTGAAAAGCAGGTGCAGAAATGGCTGCAGACTTGCTGCTGCCTAAGGCAAGAACGAGGACCTGATGCCGCTAATAGCTATTGATACCTCTAAATGGAAGCAGTGATGGCCCTCAGAGGCCATCTTTTGGATTTTTCAGAGTGTATTTGGGTAGAGATTGAAAAAGCCATATAATTTTACTGTTACTCAAAAGAGAAAACAGCCCTTGCCAAAAAACAATAAAAAACCTGCAATGTCAGACTATGAAAATTCAAGAAGCAAATTTTTGAAGTTGCCTTGTAGTTTGATGTTTTTCCAGTTCTACTAGCACAATCATTTGTCCACACGAGCAAAAACAGACTTCTGTTGTGTAAATTTGGATATATAAAAGTATGCAAAGTTAGAAGTAGCACTAAACATCTGATTTCCTATACAAACTTGTGGTGGTAGGATGACTGTGAGGAATGAAAATCCGCTATGCAGTACTGTTGATACAATATACTGTGTATGTTAAAGCCCCCAAGATAGTTCTTTAGTGAGTGTTGAAAAGGTTTTACTTGTTTAAAAGTATTCTTTATAAAGATAAATGCAATATATTGTCTCAGGTTAAGACGTTACTGAGTCTTGCTTTTTCACAAACTGAAAATGAATACAAGTAAATCACTGGCAACACTTACATGTTCATACGTGCCTTGCAATCATTTAGGCTCACATTATTAAACTTAACACTTAGCAGTGTGTTTTATAGATCCATAATAGTATGAATTCCTCTGATGCACAGATCGCCCTACATGGTAACCTAAGATCCCTAGGACACTTTAATTCCCCTTACTTTAAGTTCCTCCAAATCAGCCTGGAATTATGACAGCATAATAATCAATATTATTTTAGCCATCAATGAGCTTGTCTTTTTGTGCTTTAGTTTCTCGTATAAAAATAGAAGTAGTCATCAACGTGTGGAAAAATAATTTTCCAATAGCCTTTACACTGCTTTTACAAAGCATGGATTTGTTAAAAACAACTTTTGGGGACTTCACTGGGAATGCATAAACAGCATTACAGAGGCTAAAAGAATTAGTTTCGTGCTTTTGGTACAAAACTGAATGATCACCTGACAAGAAACGTTACCTTCTGAATGCATATAATGGGAATTAGCTTAAAAACTTTGGCCATGTTTTCACTTGCCAGCGCCTATATTTCAGCACTGAACTAGGAGTGGTAAATATTTCTGTAATGGCAGTAGGAAACTGCAATCCGTGCAACAAAACTTCTGAACTCCGTTTTGCAGTTCATGGAAAAGATGTCCATCGTCTTTGGGGAGCAGGCTGTTCTCACAGTGCTGGCACTCTTACTTGTTTCCAACAGCTGGACATTATCAAAATGTGGGGATGCTTTTCTAATGTTACTCATTCATGTTGGGGTCAGACCTTAAGAAACATCTATAACCGCCAGAACGGGGCTGAGAACGTAGCGGGGAGTTGGCCACACTTCTCCATCAAGATGCAGTTCAGTTTACGCTAAAGATGAAAACTCCACACCTTTTACTTGGGGTAAACTTACTTGTAACTTCTGGGTTAACACTGATTCTGTACTGGAGTTCAGTAATCCAACTCAGAAATCTGTAAGATCCAGTCTATTGGACGTTATAAACGGACAAGATTTGGGAACTGCAGCCCTTTCAGGTATACAGGTAGTGCGTTCAATTGCAATCTGGTCGCAGACTCCCCCCAGCAGCGGGGAACTCGCTGATGGAGGTAACCGTTGTATTTAGGTCTGTTCCTCTGCCTCCGTTTCCCCCAGCCCACCACCACTAACTACAGGAAGCATATTAAGACCGTGCTTAGGGGTACTAGTAAAAAGTATACTATGCCAGTGATCCACTGGTTCTGAATCCTTTAGACAAGTCTAGTAGCAACGCTACGTTATTTTTAGGATGCGGGATGGTTCTCAGAATCAGAAAAAACAATCCCTTTTTGTGCTGCAGAGAATAAAGCTTAAAGCAATACACTTGTATGGCTTATTCTTGAGCAAAATAATTCTTAAATTATTACGGAATGAGAGCAAAATGAACTATTATACACCTCCAAAATCAGTGCATCTGAATCAGTAAAACTTTAGTTTTAACATAGAGGAAGTTAAACTCAGTAAATTCCAAAAGTGAGCCTGTGCAAGATCCTTGTAAGTGCAGTCCTCTTCACTGTCTTTGTAGCACTGAGCTAATGATTGATATGGCTGTTTCACTACAGATTTAATCTTCCAAGCTATATCTGTTAGTTGTAGTAGTTAGTATATCTGTTAGTAGTATGCATAAGAAATAACGTGCTGTTATAGCAACATTACCTCTTCTTCTTGTTCTTGATCTGATTCTGATTCCTTTCCGTTCCAAAATGCCATGCAAAAAGAGAAGGGAAAAACAGAGCAGGCAAAATGCACATTTTTTAGAAGAAAACAGTAGGAAAAAATAACTTCTGACAACGTTTAACAGAAAAGAAGAAAAGGCAGTAAGTTTCTGCAATTGATTTCTCATGTGAAAAAGCATCAAAAATCTAAACTGTCAGTTTAAAACATGAAAAGCTATAGAATCAAGCAAATTACGAACAGAGAAGTTGCTTCTGGGTGTTAGACTTCTAGTGATCCTTATTTGTACCAAAACTTAAAATATATACATGCTTTTGCACCCATAAATTAGCATGAGTAAATACTTAAAATAGTTAAGAACATTACATATTTAAAATTAAAATATGTTGACATGTGGTATTTTTAAATTATACAAAAATACTATAAAGAAGATTATATTGTATGCTAAAAATACTGAGAAAAAATGAACACCAACAGGCAAGATTTTGGGCAAGCAGCCTAATACATTCCTAAAAGGCATGCAGCTCTGACAGGGACAGTAAAACATCCGAGTTATCACAGAATAGCAATAAACTGACCCTTTCTAAGAAAACAAATGCTTCTTAATATCTGATCTCACTTAAACAGAAATCAAGGGCGCTCCCATGATTTATGAGAATTCAACTGGTCTCAATCTTGTTATTTATAAATACTAACTCATACTAGAGTTTTCCTCTCCTTTTTCTGCCCTTGATATCGGACCATTTTCTTCCCCAGGCACATTAATAACTGTTATAACAATAATCTGAAGAAAGACCATTTACACGATGTGACGTACTCATAGATTCTTGAAAGATTTGATCAGATGTAGGAAGAAAAGTCAGTGTCAAAAGTCAATGTAATATTAACATCTAGTCTAAGAAAATATTTTTGACGCTGCTATAAACTTTCCAAACTCTAGAGCTCGTCTGCTACATTTTTATCACTATCACCACAAATAAACAAGGCAGTTAGCTAAAAATGCTACTGCAAAGCCCATTAACTTTCAAATTGGCAAATGAAAAAAAATGACAAATAATTTTCAGTCCTTCTGTAATTCTTACCTTAAGAACATCATATGATCTACAGACATTTTCCTTACACTTTGTGAAACAGGTATGAACGGTAACTTCATTTCCAGAGAGGTGTCACAAGACACGGTTAGACAGTGTGGGAAGTCTTTGGTAAAACAAAAAAAAAAATAACCTAGAGGTACTCACTGAGTCCCAGAACTGTCTCACCCCTGAACAGAATCTGGGTAAAACTTTTGTATGAAATAAGATTAGCACAGGTCTTGTGCAACACCAAACAAAACCAGGGGAGCTATGTAGCGCGAACTGGATTTTCACCTCCCTTCTGCCATCTCTTCTGAGTCCTCAGAAAATATTCGATAACATCTTTGAACACTGGCATTAAGAGTAACAAACCCAAGAAACTGAAAGCCCTTGGGTGGTATTTATTCTTCTTCAAAAGACCTGACTACAAAGCTTGAACAATATTTTGCCCTCCTACTCATTTCCTGTTTATATTATAATGCTGATGACTGTAGATCGGTGTAATTTCACAGTACCTTTGTGTAAATGGGTAAAGTGATGTTTAAATTACATATGGCTTGATGAACGAGGCCTCTTGTAGATTTTGGCTCCTTCATGAATGATAATCGTCCACAGGGTTCTTGGGTGGTATCTCGCACCTGGTAGAGCAAACATACAGACATTTAATCTGTTATTTTGCTGTTTTGCTGTATGATCTACTTGTGCCACTCAAAACCATGTAGCAGAAAGAGGCTAGATGTGGGAGAAAAAGTCCACGTAGGCAAAAATAAGGTGTTGTCTTTCTTTTTTCCTACTTGTTTGTAAATGTACGTATGGGTGTATTTGTGTGTCAAAGCAAAAGACACAAGCTTACACATTAGAAACTTGTTTACAGAAGGCAGTCCTAACGCTGTAATCACAGTCTTAAAAGAGCAGAGACATTCCAGTATGATTGGGCTTGTAAGTGATAACTTACAATACCTATTTTTCACTGAAACGGTCCCCAAACTTTATGGTCATTACAGAGACTCATTTTGTACTAGGTGACAAAAGGAACTAAGTCGTTTTCCCCCATATGGCAAGAATATGTATTTACACTGATGTTAGCGATAACTCTTTGCTCATCATTTTAGTATTAAATATTGTGTTTGTTCGTTTGTCTACTCTTTTGGCTGAGTGCCTGAAAACAGCGGAAGATTACACTTAAAATTTCTTCTCTTGCAAAATGTTTTCTCAAATGTATTGATAAATCCTAGTCTTAGAATTAAGAAATTTGCTGGAATATATTTATAGGTGTGACCATTATTATCTACAAAAGATACCACATCATACCATACTTTAAGATTTTGCAGTGAAACTTAGAAAAATCTCTTTCACGGTTGTTAGTAGAAACAACTGTTCTAAGTGTAAGCACTTAGAACTTAAGATACTGGTGATGTAGTTTTAGCTTTTGTACATAATGTCAGGAGGATTACGTACGATATCACAAACGAAATACAACGGAAGGCATTACCTCATTCTTAGTTTTCTGAACTGATAAAATGACACAATTAGAGACATGTGTATTAACTTTATCAGATTGAAAAGACTAGATGCGAAGACACACACGTTTTTGAACGTATTTCGAAAAATCCATCATGGAGAAAAATATGCCAAGCCAAAGGTAGGTGGTGGCATAAAGTTTTAAATTAAAACAAGCTTACAAAATATTGCTGGAAAGGCGGGAGAGAGTTTAAAAGTTGTCTAGCAGCATACAGCGAATTTAACACAATGAGGGAGTGGCTTGATTTTCTCCACTTTTTGGATGTTTCCATTCATAAAGCATTTCTCTAAAACTGTTGCATGTAATGGTAATAGCGTACTCCGTTGTAGTCGGGATGTCCCAGTAGAAGGAAAAGTTTGTGGGAAGAGGTTTGCAGCGCCCTCTGAATCTCCCTCTCCAGAAGAGAAGGTGGTGGTGGCTCGGTGCCAGCAGCCCTCTCTGCTGCTAGCACAGACCACAGTGAGAGCACTTTTCTACATGACTTACTGCTCCCTGCGGATCTCGTGAACGGCACAGATGAGCCCCATGGCCCATGGCGTTTACGTCACTGGCTCTGTAGCTAAAGTATTAGTTAATTTTGGATGAACGGAGTCTTTTTGTTTTGGCTTTTGTTTTACACTCCTACTCATGTAGAAGTTTTTAAAATAGAATAGCACAGTAAAATACACTACAGGGATAAAATTAGGTTACAGTTGGGAATTTATCAAAATTAACTACTTCCTTTTTCCTTTGTTCTCAAAAATATGGTAAAATCATAACTTGAAATATCCAAAAAGGAGCCATGCTTTTCTTACTGTACGCTCAAGGAAGTTTTGCATTGCTACTGAAGGGAGGATGATTGGTTGAAGAACAGTTATATCTGTATTTACAGCCATATGCATATTTACAAGTGTAGGGTACAATGATCATATTTTGATAAGATTTCTGCCAATTCTACAATGTTTTCTGACACTTTTTTGCAGTTCCCGCATTTTTACCTGCAATATATTGAACCATGATACAGAAAACCAAACAAGATCAAACTTGATCAGCTCTTTAGATTATTAGGTAGAGAACAGGATTCCTAGAAGTACCATTTTGGTGTCTGAAAGAATGCTGTGGACACATAGCAGAACACAGGCACAGATAATTATATTTAGAGAAAAAATTTACTAAATTTTAGGTAGCCACTGCTGGTTGTTTTGACTACCCAAGTCAACATTTAATCCATTATCATAAAATAATTTGGAACTGTTCAGTCTGCTAAGTTTATTGTATACTCAGAAGTAGGCAAAAAATAAAAATACAATCCATAGCTCATATCACAACATTACCTTAACAAACAGAGGAAGTCTATTTTCTTTGAAGGCAAAAAAACTGAATATATGATGTTGCCCACTCTTTGTTAGTGGCACCAAATTGCCAAAGCAGTCAACATAGATGGGTTTTCCTTCTAATACCTATTGGAAATGAAAAAGAAGCAAAGCAGCAATTAATCACAGTGAGGTGGTTAGGGTGTCTTCTTAAGCATAATTCTACAGTACTTTCGATCAATTTCTTAAATTGCTAGGACTTGTCAGCATTTACAAGATTTGTTATGTACAGTTAACTAAAATCTGTGGAAACATTTCAGATTATTAAATTCCAAATGGGATACATTGTTATTTCAATAACAATAGCGTGACACTATAAATGACAAAATGAGTATTCAGTGTCATGAATCTGGGCAAATTCTCAATCTATATTTTAATTTGGATTTTTTATTGGCTCTAATTTTAGCATACGTTGCTAACCTGGCCTCACCGTAACAGTCAAAGAAATATTTTCTTCAGCAATCAAATCAAAAGTCCTTGTTTTGACTGGTAGGAAAATAAGCCAGTCTGGGAATATCATGAAGTTGCAGAGGACCTTTTTGCCAACGCAAAAACTTTCTAAATTAGATTAACTATGTGTTAGTTAACACATAGTCTGTTGCAGCAGGCAAAGACAGTGTATATCAGTAGATTCTATTTATTTCAGCTGGATTTGTAAAAGCTTTTGAAAGTCAGGCCTCAAGTAAATGCCTCTCTGAAATGCCTATATAATGATACTGCCTACGTCTTTGGATTGCTATTGTTATGGCCCCTCCACACGTTTAAATCTCAGCTTACCAGTTTTGGAGATGTTCCCTTCAAACTGCCAATACATTAACGTCTCATCCTTACTTCCCAGAAATTCAGCCCTGTCATTCAGTTTTATAAGCCTGTACTTTATCTAGCTGCTCTGCACAAGAAATGCCTGCCAGAGCTTCAGAAACAGCGAGGACAAATTTCTTAAAGGTGGGATTCTCGTGGAAAAGAGACCATACTAAGCAGAAGAATATGCCGTGCATGTAGTTAAAGAACTTTCAAGTTGTCATCCCTTCTGAGGAAGCTGACAGAGCCAGAAAAAACTGCATTTAGCAGGCAGTTTGCTGGATTCCACATAGAAAAGCTTTTGCCTGCTCAGCAACAGATTTAATTTTTTTTTTTGTAAAGCAGAATATTAACCAAACCTGCTAGTTTAATTTCTTGGTGTGCAAAGAAGCTGACAAGACGTGACTGCTGTTGACTGCCTTTTTGGTTGGTGATATTCATTCACAGAGTTACTGGAAGTTGAGATTTACCTGTCCTTTTTGGCTTTGACTATCTCCCCTTTTCTCGCAACACCCACTTAGTATCAGGCTCAGGAACGTAACAGTTCAGTAGAGAACACCACCCTCAAAACTCATCTTTACCCAGACATTCCTCTAAGAGGAAGTCAGTAACTAAAAAATTCAAGGTGTCTCCTGGCAGTTTGCTACAGAGCTAGTTAAAACTAAGTAATCGCTGTGGACCACCACAGAAATGGCTATGGGGTACTTGGATTGAACTTAGGGCTAAGCCTGCATCCATAGTACTTAGTTTTAGGCTAACTGAGGAAAAAGTCCATTCACAACACCTATCCTCTACCTCTCAGCTCGCTGTTGAGTGACTTAAGTCTTTAGCCTTGCTGTGCACCTGAAACCCCAGCCAAGCTACGCAAAATTATTACATACTATTGCATTTTGTTTAATAAAAGCCATGGGCAATGTCTCCTGCTTGCATAACTAGCCATCTCAAATAGATTTCATAATACGTAGTTGGCAGTAGCTGCTCTAGTTCTGAATCTGAATTAAAGAAATGCTGACCCTGACACCAGAGAAAAAGAGGACAAAGAACCTGAAACTGAGGGACTAAATGGTAACCCCCAACATCATTTTATTACCTGATTTCCTAGCATAAAATCAGTCCAGTTTCTAAGTACAGCTGTTTAACAGGTCCACCATAAAAAAGCATCTTGGGAAACCAAATTCTTTCAATTCAGTTTTGTCCTATGGGTTTTCTAAGCCTTAGTCCCATAACAGAGAGCTCAGACTCAGCCAGCCCACTTCCGTATTTACGATCTCCTTGAACCCAGCTTAAGGTTCCTGCTACCTATTTCTTTAATTGCCGAGGACTGCCCTGAGAACACACTGGATGTCCCATTTGAATGCCGATAATGCTACGGAGAAAGCAAAAACCGGTATTACCAAAGTCAGACAGGGAATTCCTTTCTAACTTCTGATAACCAGCTGATTGGATTTCCTTGCGGGTGAAACACACAATTACCTTCCACCTTGGTAGATTGACCCAGGAAGACCCAAATGCAGTCAGCTGAATACAGCTCACCTTGCCACCAGCCCTGTGGACTAAGAGATCGGCAATTGCCAATAGGGAATAGGATTTCATCACTTGCATCTGGCAGCTGCTTTTCCCTGACATCTGACAAAAGTCAAAGTTTCCATCTTATCATGACGCATGATACTGCATCATGTCAGTATTTGTTGGCACTATTATTTTTCAGTACTTGTGGCAGACAGAAGGCAGAAAAACAGACAGCTTAAAAACAGACATTAGAAAATGGAGAAAACTGTTTAAGATTCTTGTGCAGTACCTCTACATCCCTGCTTCTGGCAACTTCAGCAAAATTTTCTTGTTGTTCCAGAGTTTTATCCACCTTGTCATCTGTCATGCAAAAACATCTTAACCGTGCTTCAATGGGATCATGTGATTTGGCAAACACCACAAATTTGGCCATGTAGGGGACACAGATAATCTCTCTGTACACTTGGGAAGCAAAAGTAACAGATTCTTGTGTCTGTCGACAGTCTATCAACCAAAATCTGTAAAAGAAAAGGAAGAGTTGTGTCATCAGCACAGAAAGATTGACGCAAGAAAATGATGTATTTTCCCATTTTGGCAGCATTAGCTGGTAACCACACCAATTGTACATGACAAGTCAGAATAAAGTAAAAAAAAAATAGTTACCATTTGGGAAGAATAGCCTAAGAATGATCGTGGTACCCCCTATGCATTAGGGAGCACGAAGCAAAATCAACAGGGAAAGCATTTGGACCAGAACTTACTCTCCTAAATGCCAGACGCATAGAGTCTCCTGCTGCACAAATTCCAGGCCATGGTTTGCCTTTCTGAGAAGATCTCACTCAGCTGGAAGCTTATTTGCTTCCAGGTACATGACTGGCTTTTAAAGGCTTTAAGAAGTTCACTTGTCCTGTGGCAGACCATCTCATACATCTTCTCTGAAGATTTAAATATATGAACCTTTTCATATTTTTGTGTTTATGAAATATATACATTACATTTATAAGTATGTTTATAATATTTAAACAATTATTGATGGCTTACCAAAATCAAGAAATTCTGGAAATTCATCACAGTATCCAATAAATGCTTTTTCTTCTATTCAAAAGTTGGCTATGGCCTAAACTTTGTTTTCATCTGAATTGATTCCTTATAGTGAGAATACGTGATCAAATGTTTCCTGCCTTTCACCAAGAAATATCTCTTTGCCAATAAACTCAGTGGTCTCTGTTCTCCATCGCGTTCAACAGTTTCTGATGATGTTTGAAATAGTGATTGATCTTATCACTATTCTTCTAGAGCTGCCCAAAAGGTCTCTGAATTTGTTCTTGTTTATCACGTGTCATTATTTGATTTCTGTGCAGAACGTAAGTGTACTGGAAGTGTACAGTTCAGATTTACCCCTATCTGTGACTCTGCAATATGTGCATTTGATCTAGAGAATAGAGATATGATCCATTTAATCTAGAGAAATACAGGTTCTTTTTGACAGCTGGTTGCTGCTAAACATCTGATGATGCGGAAGAGAGTAATGTCCCATAAAAATCCTACTAAAATTGCTTGTACCTAGTCATATGCCGAGCCTGTCATTTCTCTTCCAGGTTATGACTAAATTGTTAAACTACAGAGTGGGCAATTTCATCCTTTTCTCTTTAGCCCCCTGAAATCTTCCCAGGCGTTGTACAATTTCCTGTTTGTTAAGTGCTGGACACATCAGTATGCCACACGCGGGTGTCAGTGAACTAACTGTGTACAAACTTCTGACGTGACAGAGATGCTGTGAAAGTTTCCTGACTTTTACTGATGAGAACAGGGGACTGAAAGGGCTTTTGGCATGTGTTGCTAATCCTTCAGTCTGTTCTTGGACCTCCGTCTCTAACAGGTGAAATATAAAGCTGCCTTGCCCAAAATGCTCGTTTTTCTTCTACCATCTAGCTTAAAGGTCAGCAGTACATTCCTTACATACAATATCAAAAACTGAGGGTCTTTAGGTGAATGTAAGTGATTCTGTCCACTGCGTAACATGGCACACAAAATCAGAAATTATTCTTATGCGAATTTAGTGAGGGACTTCTAACTTTGATTTTGTGGTTTTTGTTATGCATATTGAAGACCAGTGATATAGATATTTCGGTATCTGAGCCATACTGTATTTTGAAGGCCCTGCAAGTAGATGTGTCCGCATCTGATTCCTACTACCCTTGCCTCGCAGAGGCTGTGATCACCACTGACTGACTTTTCATCGTGGTTTCTAACATGCCGTTTTACTGACAGCATCTTTCTAATGTATACACTGAATCTTCTACAGCACTGGTTCCCAGTCTGTGACACACGTACCGCAATCAAACATAAACATATTCAAAGCAACAGGCAAATACTACTGGAATAAATTACTTCCTCTGCAGGGTGCGAAGCCAGGAGCTGCCACTGCTATCTCATTCAGGTACCACCACGACAGAGAAATCTTTAAGATTACAGGGTAAGGTTGGAAGTTGTCTGATTTCACTAACATAATTATTACAAATGAACGTCTGCCTCTTATGAAGTACTGCTAGGGCACGTGAATTGAAACAAACCACCTCAAAACTCATCAAACGTACACGGTTACTTAAGACATACCACGGATATTGCAACTCAGGTCTAGAACTTCAGCTGCCAGAACAGGTCCTCTTGTGTCAAAAATGACCCTCCTCTTTACTGAAAACCACAGGTTCTTTGCCCTTTCTTTGGGCCATTCAGGCCGGGACAACATTGCCCAGTAATAAAAATTTACAGAATTTCCTTATACCTTTGTCAAGGCAATTGAATTGTTATTTCGCAAAGATAACAGCTTTCACTTAAAATAATTTTACTTCTACTCCCAAAATGCAACAGCAGAAACGCACCAAGCATTTTACAAGGAGTAACACGTATTGCCTTCCTTCTCAGATACCACTTCATTTAGCTTCTCTGTGGAGCTAATGACATTTCTTTTAAATAAAATTCACTAGGTGGGTGGAAAGCATGCTCGAGTTTGACACCCATAGGACGGAGACGGAAGTCATGAGAGGCCAAAGACACCTCAAAAGCTGATATAATCTACAGGGGACTTATTACTTACTGTAGATTACATGGTATTATAGCCCACAAAGCATACCTTTCAAGTGTGATTTCTCTGGTCTTACTCATCTGCAGTTGAATAATAGCGAATTTCATGCTATGCTTATCTTTAGAACATTTAACAAACACACTGGTTAAAAAACAGGCTTGATGACATTTGCAAGAGAGAAAGCATGTTTGGTACATAAAGGCTCTGAATGCTGATACCTTCCTTTTCATGTGTGGGAGAGTTATGCTATGCCGGACTCAAACTGGAAAGGCTATATCCTCTGAGAAATCACCATATGCTCAAATGATTTGCTGTCATACACCAGGGGCTAAGAAGCCCAAACAGACACTAGATTTTTAAAAAAGCTGCAGCTCAGGAAATGGAAAACAGCTATGCCTCAAAGTCTGCAGTTTAATTCGCATGTATTTTAGACGTGCGAATGTATGTATCTCTTTCCCAAGCTCATTTTGGACAGAATTAGTCTTACGAATGGGAAAATTGCTCTCCACCATTAATGATTTAACTGTCACTATCACTAGCAAACAGTCAGGCATCAGCTAATTCTCAGCAGATGCACTTTAGACCAGGGCACAAGTGAAGAAATTCAAGTTAGCTTGTCCTTCAGTAAAGAAGGTAATTAATTCTCTGACTGTAAATACATGAAAAATCTCATTTTCTAACTTTAACAGCATTTAAAATTATGTTTGGGTTAAAGCAGTCTGTTGAACATTCATTTAGATTAAAAAGAAGAGGTAGAACCCATTAAAATCTCTACATGGGATCCTGCCTATAACACAGAACATTAGCAATAGAAATAAATTTTAATGTCATCATCAGGATTAGGAAACATCCACTACTAATACGGACTGTAGTTCCATAAACTGTCACCCTCGTTCTGGCTGTATTTCATGTGTAGCCCTGCTGGGGACTTGACAATTTTAGCGACTTTGAACTCTCAAACTTTGCATCTGGTCTCCACATCTAGTTCTTAAATTAATCTTTAATTTATCCCTTTAAACAGAACACTTGCAGGTAGCAGATGAGAGCTAAAACACACTTTAAGATCTCCCTCTTGTGGTCACTGCCGTTAAAGAAAAATGTTCAGCTGAACGGAAAAGAAATGTACATAGGCAAAGCATCCAACTTGATGGGAAGAAAGCCATTTCTGAACTGAGAAAGTATGGAAAAATAATACTTTATTTCACCTAATGTTAAAGTTATACTGTAGACTGGACTGCAAAAGTTGAACTCATTTATCATTGAATAAATGACTTCATTAAATAGCAAACCTAATCTAAATAGTAATAACTGCTCTGGATACTGAATGTTTGCACTGAAGGAAATTCATTGATTTTCATGGGCAACTTATCCAAGATTTTTGTAACTGTTTGCTAGACTACACACCCTAAATTAAATACTTTCCAGGTCATGGACTGCATCTCCTGTTACAGAGAAGGAGATTTTTGAGCATTTCGGTGATATAAATCATGGTGAGTATACAAACTAAAATACATACATAAATACATCATATTAAATATGAAATTCTGTTTTCAGAAAGACAGCAGTTCAGTCTCATCACAAGAACAGATGATTGGAAGAGATTCTTCTAGATCACAGTTTGGTACACCTACAGGCCTTTCTGCTTGATTTCTCATTTGTTGGATATTCTGGAAGTAACATCTTTTCTAAGATGTATAATGAGCTACCCAAATAAGGGGTTTCCATGGAAACTTGCATAATTCTGCATCTGGGAGAGAAGGGGTATTGAAAATGAAACCAGATTTTTTTCTAACTCCCTGAAAATTGAACTGTCCCTCAGATTACTATTTCAGAAAAATGAGTATGTCATTAATTCATTTCTGGGATCGTAGCAGGTGCTGACTGCAAAGGACTAACGTCCGAGATAAAAATGACAAGATCATCCATTTCTTTCCACAGCTAGTAAGGAGTGTAGTGCTTACAGCTCTCGTACGTCATCTGTCTGGGCTAGGAGGCTCAGGGCCTCCAAAATACCTGGCCAATTGGTTCACAGCATAGACAAAATATCTATGTTCCTTCCACTATATACACTAAAAGAGTTTAAAGGAAATATTTGTTGAAAAATTGACAAGCACTTGAAAGTAACACTGTAAAACTCATGTTTTGTTGTAGAGGTACCTGGCAGACACATTTGTTGTGAAGGAAACACATTCATTAACAAATGTCAGCGGTGTTGTTCCGGTGATGTCTTCCCATTGGGCAGGGGTGGTTCCTCCTGAAATGATAGAGAGAGATTTAAAAAAAAAAGATTAAAACGAAGCAAGTCTGCGACTTTCTTGCTTCTAAGAAATATTTCACATTCTTCTGAGTTTTTAATCGCTATGAAACCAGTAATAATCCCAGACACGCCGTCTCCTTAGCTCCACGTTATTCCACTAATGCTGGACCTTTCTCAGGGTTTCCCCTGAGAAAACAAAGTGCCCAAATGATTTTCAAATGATGAGTCCTGTAGCACAGCTCCAGAAATGTTAAAAGAGGCTAGAATTTTTGGGGGAGAGATGTAATTTATTAGAAATTACTTTTGTTCGTTCTAGACTATTCACATATGCGGGGCAAAATTGGCCCAGATATAGTGCAGTTAAACCTATATTGTTACACTTGGGAAACAATAATAATGTTACCAATAGTGACAACTACAATTTATGATTTCTATAATCTACTTCTTTTTCAAATAATTCAAAGACTCAGGTCCAGTATGTACATAACTAAGAAATTGCTTTTGCACCTTGCTATGAAAACCTATGAAACAATCTCTGTCTGACAAGCTCCCTGGGAGATTTTGCAGTTGAAATGAGCACCTCCATATCACGCTGTACAATAGACAGCCTTCTGGATTCCTACCAGTCTATTAAGTGTTTCAGCCCTCTTTGTCACGGACGTTGCCAGCTCCCTATTTGGCCCATGCAGCTGAAAATGTGGGCACGATCTGTCACCCTGCGGCTGCGTTTTCAAGTTCTTCAGTACATGTCCCTGCCTCACCTTTTGGTGAAGAACATCCAGTTGGTTTTCCTTAAAATCACACTGAGCTTCCAGAGAACAGAAATAGACGTGTTTATTTCTAACAGCGGTTACGAATATTTATAAAACACGTATGAAGAACTAAAGGAAAAACTACGTATAACCAGGGCTAAGTCAGAATGCATGTCTGTCCCTCCTCTCATATACAGCTGACTTGTCAGATATCCATTTGACCATGTAGCACAGTCTTTATGCAAACCTTAAAACGAGCTGCATCTGTAAAGGAATACTAGTTTTCAGGAAACACCTCCTTTCTCCTTTTGGTGAAGCATTCTTGGAACCAATTTCCCTTTTGAAGTTTTCTGGAGGATCCCTGCAGATTTACTGTCCCTCCAAGAAACTTATTCAAATTCCTCTTTATAAAGGAGACCATTCTTCTCTATTTAAATAAACATTGTTTCACTCTCTTGGAAATGCAAATACTTCTTTGTTGACCAGATGTTGTTTCTGGTATTTCAGCAGCTACCTAACACCTTTATATCAAGAAATTGTAAAAGCACCTGTTCTCTGGAACGACTCATTGGCACATCTCAGTGTGTAATGCATCTTACATTGTGTTGGTATTTGAAATCAGTTTGAAAATTAACAGAATAAATGCATGCAGCTCACTTCTGCCTCTTAACTGAGCCTGAATGAATCGCTAATCACTTCGGAGTTATAGCAAGTGTAAAGCATTTAACTCCAATATTTTCCTCTGAAGCATACTGCAACGTTATGTCTGTACTACACTTACCCTGCTAGGCAGAGGTATGTTGGTTCTCAAGAAACAAACTGCAGGGAAAATGCAAAAAAACCCCAAACCCGAAGTCTATGATTATATTACACATCTCTTGCTAATCCAAACACCAAATGTTATTTCTGCTATAAAGTAATTGTTTGGAAAGTAGTTTATTTTCACAGCCTCTCATCCCAGTCAGGTTTTCACCAAGCTTTCCATGCGTATAATCAGTTTAACATATTCAGCCCACGATGACTGACAATTTCAAGATGCACATAAAAAAACTCTAGTATTTGCATCCTACCTGTTATGCTGCATAGTAACCTTAAAGTGGGTGTGTCGCCTCCATAACCGTTCATGATCCCATCACTGGAGGCCTTGGGGACGGGAATCGTCATCGTGATGGGTTTATGGAACTTCCTTCTCCTGGGCTCCAGTGTGACTATAGGACTGAAGGTAGCCTTGTTGCCTAAAATCTTCTTTATAAGTTCAGTATGCATAGGTTGAGCCTTTCCAAAGCAAGACAACAACAGAATAGTTACTTGAAAACAGTTTAATCGGTATGTAAAGAACTGGGTCTGTATATTGCCACGAAATCTCTAAGGTTTTTACACTAAATGGCACAATTTCCCATTAAAATCTGCAGACGTAAGAACTGACTGCCAGCGAGAAGGGGAGACCTCCCTTTTTGAACGTTCCCATGCCTTCCTCCTCTTCCTATCCGCTTTCTTGGTGCTTGTCAGACCTTTTACGGCATTAATTTAAATCCCTTAACCGGTAGCAAACGATTCCCTTGTCACCTTTCTGTCTTTTTTCTTAGGACAAGCTCTGAGCTATTCTAGTAAGCTATTCAGCTATTCACAGGGGATTTCAACAAGCACGGTCTCCTGGCCAAGGCAAGTTGTGGATGCATGCAGCAGGAGGAGGGGATGGAGGTAGGGGAAAGACTTCCCCCTCCTTCAGTAGTCAACTGTTAGGCTGGTTTACTTCACGCTGAGAATCTGTACATTTGACCTAGTTATTACAGCACTTTGTACTTCTCTGATGCCTTTCATAAGAAGTATTTAAGAAATTGTTCTATGACCTACACTAATATCGTCATCATCACCAAGATCATATAGACAGCTAACAGACAGGAATCTAAATTAACTGGAATACCCAAAGCTTTACTGCTTGCTTTGACTTTTGCATGGATTTTTTTAACATTATTTTTACTAGAAGAATTCTAGACAGCAACATACAACATGATAAGCTGAATATGCTGGTTCTCCATTCAAAGAAGGTGATTTCACACTAAAGGAAAAAAAAAAGATAAGCCTAGTAATTGTTTCATTGTACCTGGAGGCCAACGCGAATTCGCTTGGTTAGAGCCCCTTCTGGGAAGACTGCCTGCACTTGTGGTACAACAGTGCTGCTCAGCACACCTCCCTCGGGTCCGATAAGGTTGCTGTCCTGTTTGATCCGGGATACCACTGCAAAGTACTGAGGGAAATCTCGGGTGATGATGCGGCAGATACGTTTCTTCTCAAGCTCCTCTGGAGTGTCAAGTACTGAGGCCAAAAGAGAAGACGGTCAGAAGACAAGAATTTCATAGAAACAATACAGCGAACTTCAAAATGCATTCAAGCTTTTCACAGTTTAACTGCGACTTACAGAAGTATTTTGTCTGGAAATCAAAGGGGAAAAGGAAACATACCCCAGCATTTTAAGTTCAGAGAAATCATGAAAGGAATAGACAGACAGACTGAACAACTAACTGAAGGGAGCTTAAGACAGCAAACTCAGAACATGTTGACAGCATCCCCAAAATCAGCGGGCAAACAAGCAAAGGGATTGGTCCAAGCCCCTTTCTACTTCACATGTTTACACTATGGCCTGGAGTAGTGTCAAGGAAGCTAAACTCCAAATCAAAAAAGTATCAAAGTATGAGTTCAGCTTTAAGTATGTGAATTGGCTTGTTTACTTTTGGTTTGGGTTTTTTTTTTTTTTAAAAAAAGCCATCGAAATTAATAACAAATTCTGCAGATCCTAGACAGCCCAAGGCCATTCTGTTCTCTCAGAAAGCAAAAGTACCCATGACTGACATTTCCTCCCACACACATAGCTGCTTGGAAAGGATTAGTATGATAATTGCCTTGTTTTGGAAAGATGTTTGCTACGGAAGCTTTTCGTTTAACGCTACGAAAAGGAGCAGTAGAAAACATAAGTCTGGCATCTATTCTCAACTTCGTGACGGTAGATTTTGTTTTGTCCCACTACTGCAGCAGACCATGCAAGGGAAGTAAGCACAAGTACACAGTGCTTCTGCTGGCTCCTGTACTGACAACATGATTATGCTCCAGTGTGACCGAAATGAAGTATCTGGAGAATGTAGTGTCAGAGATTCTAGGGTGGGCCAAACATGGGGTGCTAAAAAGAATAAATGCTAAAAAGCTATTACCCCCAGTTACAGAAGTAATGCAGGAGCAGAAGCGAAAAAAAAAGTCACACTGGATACCTTCATCCATTCCATTCAAGATTTCGTTCAGTTCATCCTCAGTGTATTCACAGAAATGCTCCTTCCAGCTGTCCCCATTCTCACTGCGCAGGATCACCAGCTCTCTCTCTTTCCCACGCAGAGCAGCAAAATGGGGAATCTCCACAATCACAGGCCTGGCACAGCAACACAGCGCATTAAATGCACACGGGAGAGAGGAAGAAACAGGATTAACAGCAACTCTACTCAGTCTGCTACAAAGTGACCTGGAATTCTACCTATTTCGCTGGAATACTTTGGCATAATCCTAAACTAGTAGGTCACTAACATATTAGATTTTTACAGGGACCCAGTAAATGCTGAAGGACAGATTAGAAAGTGCATTCACCTCTTTCCACAGTGTGAATGGTATTTGGTAAGATAATAGTGCTTACCTAGAAATTTGGTAACTGTTTTGCAAATTCATAAAAAACTCATGCTCATTTTAGTTGTCACTACTGTCTGGGTTAACCTGTGCAACTTCATTTCAAAGAGAATCTACTGTAACGTATATGAATAGTGGGACAAATTCTGATCTCACTTATACTAGTGCAAATCAGAATAATTTCATTGCAATCGGTGGGCGATTGTGTCCTGTGCCAATTTTACTTCATTGTAATTCTAAATACACCAATGAATTTATTCCTGATTTACACTCTGGGAGAGATATAGGAGGTCTGAGGAGATCATCTGGGTTTCTATTTCAGTATAGGAGATAAGAATTTGCCTTGTTGCCTTACAAGCAGATGTCAATATATGTATCAGTGTATGCGTCCATATATACACACACACACACATATACAACACATATGTGTACATATAATACATCTATGTTTATATATACATATACATAATCTTAGAAATAAGAGAGAAAATACAAATATATTTGTATATACACTTCTCTAATTAGAGGACTCACACAGGTTACCATGTACATAGTAAATGTCACGTGTTCTGTTATACTGGTGGTATCCAACATGTCACTTATTGATTAATCAGTCATTGATACAAAAAAAATCTTAAAATTTACAGTAGATTCCTTTTTTTTGTCCCAGTCCAGGTTGCTTTGCTACAGACATCAAGCACATAACTAGGAAGATTTCATGCCAAAACAAAAATGAAGGCCACAGTACTTCAAGAAAAAGATACAACAAACATACCACCAAAACAAAACCACATACCACAAGGGTTGAAGAATGGTCCACTAAGGGTTAGGTATACAAAATTTCAAATGATAGAAAGGGACAATATCATGGGCATAATGACATAAAAAAATCATATTGCAGAAGGAGGAGAAGAATGGGGAGGTCAGCATCCATCAATTTGTTTCAAGTCTCTCCTACCCAAGGAATTTGGTCCCAGGAGGCCCCAGCTGAAGGATTCGGCTGACCAAGCTTTCTCCCTCATTAAGTGGGGGAGGAGCCGTAGGCAGATGAAGTTTACTGAGTACATCCAAAGCAGCAGTGAAAGAAAGAACATAAATAAACTTTATGTATTTTTTGTGCCAGAACGCCAGTGCCACTGTCTGGTCCACAGAGTGGAATTAGGCTTTACACTGAATAAGGTTCCGCCCTAGCGATGGCGATTTGGTGGTCAAAATCAGCAAAATCAGTTTCGTTAATTTAGGATCTTTTCTTGCTTAGGGAAGACAATGGGAGTTTTGGCAGTGAACTCAATGGGAACAGGATTTGGACCTTAGAATGCACCTCTGCAAAGAGTACAGTAATTTTCTGATTTCACTGCCAGGACAACACCTAGAAAAACGCTTGCAGGAAGGGCACAAAGATCTAAGAATGAATAAAACTTTGCTCTGTCCTGCGCTTTCAGGTGAGACATTCTCCTTAGATAGAGAAACCATTAAAAAGAAAACGGGAGACATACTTAAGGTCAATTTGTGTGTGACAAAGATAACGGGAAGACTGAATGTGACAGCACAATATTTCTTCTGCTCTTCAGCTTTCTTCCTGCTTCTCTTTAAAAGTGACCAAGATGTGAAAAGAGCAAGTGGTACAGAGCATCTGATTAGCCAGCTTGTTCGCTGTTACTTGTGATATTAAGAGGTATCCCCTCTGTCAAAAGGAATGGTTGGCTTGCATCACGTTCACAGCGTTTCAGAACTGCTCTTGCTTTTTTACCAGATTAGAGCAACAGTGAAGTAGCCCAAACACGTCTTGGGTATGTTCTCCTTTCACACTCCATATAAAAGCAGTGGGCAGTTAAAAGCTACCAATCAACTTTTTTCTCTCCCCTAAGCTCAATCTTTTAGAAAAAGCGCTAACGAAGAGAGTGGCTCTGATGACTGCCTGTCATAATAGGATTTTAAAGGAATTGATTTGTTTGGAAATGGATTTAAACTATTGCTGTTTACAGAGTCACTTTTTTTACAATTTCTGAATGAAGCTATTTATTGTAATAGAAGGGGTTCCTTCAATCATCCACTTTTGGATGCCACAGTTGATAGGGAGAACAGTTGGTAAAACAAATAAAAAAAAGTGTGGATAACTGCTGCTTTCAGCTGAAAATTGCTAAAACGAGCTCAGCAGCAGACACAAATCTGATCTTTCTATGGGTTTTGCAGCATAGGACAAAGAAATGGCCAAAAAATTCTAGGGTTGTCCTATTGCTTCATTTAGCAATTTCAACCCCAGAAAAATCAAAGGCACTGTGCTTCCTGGACAGTCCAAATTACTGATAACACAACACAAGTCTCTAAAATAAGCAGCTGTAACTTGTGTTGTATATGTAGCAGGCTTTACATTTGGGCTTTAGATCAGTGCTGTGCTATTCACGCCTTAGATTAGATTATTTAAATAGAGTATGAACCGCCTTTTCTGGCTGCAAAAGGGACTTTTCCCACTATAATACCACAACACTGAGTAACAATTGTATCCAAGGAAGCACATTAACCTTAGCGCTAGTGGTTAAAATATCCGTTTTCAAAGGAAAAGGCGTAAAAGCGTTTTGAACTGTTAACTAACAAGTGATCTGTATGTCACACGACCAGCCTGTTACCATATGTTACAAACATCTTTTTCTGTTCAAGTCTTGAAAAAGGAACCATTTCAGTGCAACTTGCAAACAGATGAAAATAGACTGAACATTCTCCTTCAGGCCATATGGCACCCCTTACCCAAGAAACTGAGCACCAGAAGGTCCAACTTCAATCAGGCGGCTGGCCAGACCTTCACCTTCCACCATGGGAGGCATGGTGGCCAGTCGGTGGCGTTTCACCAACCGGCAAGTCACTCGTGTTGGAGCAGTGCATTTCCGCGGAGGAATAATGATTCGTAGTCCGTTATGTCTGCAACCTCTCATGGCACCCCCACGAGCATCCACCATGAAACTAACTAGGAAGCTGAAAAATCAGGGGAAAAAAAATTAGATACAAAACGTATCGAAACTTCTTTGGTTATGTTCCACATACGTAACAAACTACGTACGTAAATGGAGATCTTTCTCAAGATGTACAATTAGAAAAAGCCTTTCTCCCATGTGAAGCACCAAATCATGCTAAGATCATTTATTAATTAAACTGACAACTGCTATCTAAGAGTTCTTCACAGAAAGTCTTACTTTACAGTGCTGCTGTTGGTAAAAATACCAGCAGTCACTAATAAATGTGAGCATGTGTGTATGTACCTATCAAAGTCAAGTGCAAATATCACTACTCTGTACCTGCAAGCACCTACATTGTAAAGTTGGCACTCTTTAAATACTTAATGGGCAAATACATCTTATCGAAGAAAATTATTTATGACTCAAGAATATAAAGCCAATTCTGATTGGAGGGGTTGTCGGGGGGGCGTTTAGTTTTCTATAATAATTTCTATATAATAATTTCTATAATTTCTATATAATTTTCTAGTTATTCGATAAACTATAATTTCTAACAAAAAATGGTTTTGGACTTAAAAAATACCAAATTTCATGCTGGAGTGTGTGAATACAGTTCGTAATACCTCAGTGGAGCTAGCACCTATCGATATAAAAACCCCAACGTGTCATTATTGTTTGAAGAGAAATTTTGGATTTTGGTGAGATGGCAATAGCTACAGTCACTGTATAAGAGGTTTCTTTATGGATATTTGTTTTTCTCTGTTACTTTGCAGAGCAATACAATACCCCAGTGGAAAACTTAGAGATGCAGAAAGCCATCTACAGGGAGCCCTCTTCTAGCACAAGGTAAATTTCTTATCTACTTCTTTTTCTTTAAAAGGGAGAAAAACATTTCATGGGATTTCTTTTACGCTGAACTTTTTATAGTTCCACATATAACCAGCGGGTAGATTTTGACAGATTTGTTACAAAGACTGGGGACATTCTTGGGAAAGGTGTAGAACTACTTCAACTTTTTTTACTGGTTTATGACTTCGGATCATGCCTGATGTGGGATGGGAATGTCAGGTTGCTGGAAGTGAAAATAAGAGTAGATGAGACAGAACGGTATCAGGCCTACTTCTAGCCACTAAAATAGAATCGTCACATGGGGAGTCGCAGAAATGCTACTGAAGGACCTGCAATAGAGAAAAGCCCTTAAAACGTGAGTAACAAATACAGGTATTTTTCCACTGTCCCCTTGACCGTTCTGTGCGACAAACATTGCATCCACTCATTGTCCACACAGCTACAAGTAATTCCACATGCTGTAAAAACACAACACTCAACACACCGTGCAAGTCGGAAAAATGGATGATGGAAAGGAGCCACAAGCGCCAGTCAGAAGCACACCATGCACCACGGATGCCAGTCTTTCTCACACATGCAGTCTCCTATTCTACTGCCATTCATATACCTCTAGGTTTTGTTTAGTGTAAAAGTCTGGGTAGTACAACCATTATCTCATTCCTTAGAGGTTGGTGTTTCTGTGGTTTTAACAAGGGGGAAAAAAAGAAAATGAAAACATTTTACAGCTTTGATTCTCTGGGGATTAATTTAGAAAAATGGGAGCTTCCTTCATAAAATACATACTTTACACATTTTGAAGCACAGATGAAAGAAGAGCTTAAGAGATACTAAATGCTCAATTGTTGCAATAATGCTCTACGGCTTGCATTGCACTTTTCCCTTAACGGTATGAAGTAGTGTTATCAAAGTGGTTCTGATTTATGTTTTGGAGAATCGGTCCAAGTCTCTACTATAATGGGTGCATTAGAGGTAGTTAATAACACTGAGAGCTGGAAGAAGAGCTTCACATTTTGATGCTAATGCTATGAGCAACAGAAATACTACCCCCACAATTACCAGAAGCTAATGAGTGCACTTACTGAGTTGAATTAGCATCCACTTTTTTCGTTGTGTAAGCTGTCATGAATACAATTTTTAGGATTCAATTACTTTCAATATTGACGTAATACTCGAGATTGTATACTTTAACAACAGGATCACCTTCTTTTGCTGTCCATCACTGACATATTAGTGCTAGGTCACCTGTCTGTCTTATGTCCTCCTCAGCTTATCTCCCCACGTGTCTCAGCAATGCCAAAAACACTGTTAACTGCTAGAAGAACACATACACACAGAAGGTAAGGGTCCAAATCCAATAATCTCCCTTCTGACCACAGTAATGGGTTCTGTTGCTTCTAATACGGTGCTCTTTCTCCGTACAGTAATTCCTTTCAGACTAACCAAAAGATAAGCAGAGTGCTGAAACAGTAGTGCCTTCTCATAAAGCACACGTCACGCAATTAAGATAACTGGCTTGTGGTGTAGAACCAATATAACAGCTGAAGAAGTAGTCGTCTTCGATTTTGACCATCTGTAACAAACTGGTATCTCACCTCACACACAGAGTCATAGCCCTGTGTTCCTTCCCACACCCCCAAAACTGGGGATCCAATACAGATCAATTAAAAATGGAGTGTGGCATTTGCCTCTAGTAAGCGCTCGAGATGCAAAGGGATAGCCGTGTGTGTTCAGGCCTTAAAGCTGCAACTCTTTCTTTCAGTTTAAGTTTACTGAATGTGCCTGGTGGGTCAGAGCAGGGTCTGTCAGTGAAGCTATCACAAGATCTATCAGTCATCTATCACTGAAACCAGCTATTGCTCCAAAGAGTGGAAAACCGGGCAAAATGTCCTATCATTGGAAGGTGGACACAAAGATAACAATGGTTAGGATAAAACCGTAGGACATTGTTATTATTCACCGTAAAAACAGCTGTTTCTATCATAAAGAAGATCTAATGTATTTACTAAATAACGGGACACAACCTGGCAAACAGGAGTGTTCATCACACACCAAAACATAGATTTGTGCCGTATCACTGAAACAGACCCCCAGATGAAATGGGAGATTCCTGAAGGGTTCTGTGACTTCTGGATGAGTCTGAAACCCCCTAAGAGACTGCAGGTACCCTTCAACTGCCGGACAGCAAATTCAGGCAAACACGGAATAATATGAGGAGGGCACAGAAAGATTAGTGCCAATTAGCACACCAAATATGGAGGAGTCGGTTCACAAAACCACCTATATACTACTATGAAATTTCCAGAAAACAAATTTTGGAGAACTAGCATGAATATAGTGCAAAAGAAAGAAACTGAAGGGGAAAATTCCTCACCTCCAGAACTGTGGCATAAAAGTCTGAAAGGCTGGTACACCGATGCAGGATTTGTAGAGCTGACGCAGAATGTAAAAATAAGTTTTTTTTTCACCATACCACCCTGTTTATTTCCCAACCTTTTGCCACATTCATTTTTCCATCCACTTATTTAATCCAATTTCTTTTCATCTTTTTTTTAAATGGGCACATTTCACATAATTTTGGATATGCAATAAAGTCAAGCAAATAATTCGTAACAAAGCATTTTCTGAATCACAGCAGCCTCTTTTTCTGCCTATTTGCTACATAATGGGGCATCTGGATGGTGACATTACTGTTCCAGGACTGGAAAAGCTTTGCCCTTTCGAAGGACTGTGTATATCAATATACAAATAATTCATACAAAACTAATGCATGACATAAAACATGCTTTCTGAAATGTGCATTTAGGAAAGTGAAAAAATTGTATGACTAATAGAAAGGAAATGTAAAATGCAAATTAATTCTTTTGCTGCCCACGCGCGCGCACACTATTTTTCCTCTCCCTAGTGTTTCTTTTACCAGATGTTGTTAAGTGACGAGACTGAGATAGGAAGAGATCGTACTCAAATGAACAAACAAAACTAGCAGGAGTAACTGGCAGATTAAGCCATCAGTCTGGGAAGTGGTACCTTTTCATTATAAATTCCCAAGGTCAAAAAGAAAATAATACATAATACGAACAGATGAATAACCCTAACATCGTATATACTCATAGAATCGTAGAATAGTTTGGGTTGGAAGGGACCTCTAAAGGTCATCTAGTCCAACCCCCCTGCCGTGGGCAGGGACATCTTCACCTAGAGCAGGTTGCCCAGAGCCTCGTCCAACCTGACCTGGAATGTTTCCAGGGATGGGGCACCCACCACCTCTCCGGGCAACCTGGGCCAGTGCTTCACCACCCTCAGCGTAAAACATTTCTTCCTTACATCTAGTCTGAATCTACCCCCCTGCAGTTTAAAGCCATCCCCCCTTGGCCTGTCGCAACAGGCCCTGCTAAAAAGGCCCTGCTACTCCCTGAAGCTTAGGTGCGGGGCTGCTTCTCTTACTGCATGCAGAGAGACAGTGCTTTGCTTTACCATCCCTTAGAGGTACCCGTTCAATCTTTGCATCGGTCTTCCCTGCTCTGACTTAAAACTTCGTAAGCTCCTCCTTCTGCAAAGGGCACCGGGCACCCTCCGCTCACGCTAACTGGACAGTGCAAAAAGTGACTTTTGGCTAAGCAGGAAACTCAGAGTTTACTCCACGTTCCAATTGCAGGAAGCGCTACTGCAAGCACTACCAACCATCTACGTACAGCGAATGGAGAGGAGAGGGCTCATTAAAGAGAAACACAAATGGCTGTGAAGAGTTCAAGAGGGGAAAAAAAAAAAAGAAAGGAGAAAAAAGGTTAATAAAAGGGATTACAGGGCATCAGAAAGCTCTTACAGGTATCACTGGAAGAGGAGAAGAAAGGAGGCATCCTAAAAAAATTAGGCTGATAAACGTTTCTTATGTGCTTCTATGATAATTTATTATAATATTAAAAATGAAAGAAAATGTAAAAGAAACCAAAATAACTTACAGGAACTCCACGTAGATATAATAGCTTCAATTTTCAGAAGGGGTTAAAAATGGCATAATAGGGGAAGGAAAACCTTAGCAGGGACTAACTATGGTTAGGAGAAATGAGGTAAAACTGAGGAGAGGGAAAACAATATAAATAGGAGAAAACTTCTGGACAGCTGATAAGTAGGAAAACATTCTTGTGAGCCATTTAAAACAAAGGTGGCCAAAATAAGTGAACCGACTGATCAAGCAACGCATCAAAATCACATGTACTTTCTGTCAGCAAAAGTCTGTTTCAGAACATGTTTTAAAAGTCCTTCCTATAATAACTATATGTAGGGGAAGCATCCTTCTTTAGCACTGACTTCAGTTTATCCTGGCAACCCGTGGCAAGAACTTAAATTTCAATTAAGTGATGATTCAAAAGCAAAGCAGATGATGGGTTAAAGCAGCGAAGTCAAGTTTTGTATGTCAAGGGTGACCAGGGCAACAATGAGACGATCTCTCTCATTACAAGACAGCCTTTGAGGAAGTTTCATTTTCTGCCAGTTTTAACAGTTCAGTTAGAAACGATGCATGACACAAACATGTGACCCTGACAGTCTTGCAAACTGGATCGATACTGAGCTTTCTTAGATTTAGCAAGGTGGTAGCCCAATGTAATAGCCAAATCAATGAAACAAATTAGGTTTTGGGAAATCATTGCCTTCTCTCTTTTAAAAAGAATGAAGGGGAAATCAGGATTCTTTTTTTTTTTCAAGAAAAAATACGGAACAAAAGCAATTATTTTCTAGGAATAAGTTATAGACTGCAGGGGAGTCTATACACGCTTCTGTTAAACACATGGTTAGCACTTAGATCAAGCATCATTCATTCTCCTCTAATTTAGCAATACTTACTCATAAATTAGAGAGGCCATTTCATTCTCTTTAATTTTAGAGCAATTTAAAACTACGTACTTGCCATATGAAAGGTAACTATATCAAATAGCATTGGCTACAGCATCCTTCTGGTTGAGGACATACATAAAAGGCCCCTAAATCTTTCGGGCTGTTTCCATGCCTTCTACAGAGAGCAGAGCAAACAGCAATGGGTTTTCTAATGGCTCCACTTGAACAAAACACAGACAATATATACGCATTGGATTTATCCACCTTACAAGGACAAAAAGTTGTGGTGTATTTTCAAGAAGTATTTGTATTTCAGGTCTGAGTCTGCGTTATTCCCTTTGCTGATTTTATTCATATGGAATTAAGTGGGTTTTATTCTGTATCTATGCTCATTTGAAAGATAACAGCAGGATGAACAAATGAAATAAAACCTGGATGTGTCAAACGCTGGGGGGTGAAAGAAGATACTTATTGTGTGATTTGTGACGAATCGCTGTTATGTAAATAGCTTTGCAGAAGAGTCACAGTTTCAGGTGGCTGCGAACGCAAGCATGTTGGCACTCAAACGCGCTTCTCATTCTGCAGAATCATTTGACGAGCCATGCAAACCTAGCACCGTGAAGTGTCTTTCTAGAACAGGCAATAGTTCTTTGAACACACAAAACCAGAATAGGCAAAATCAATACACCACCACTTTCATACGGTCAGTTCAGGTACGATTATTCTTCCAAAGTAGCTAGGCAGGCACACATGCTCTCATCAGGTAGCAGGAAACAATAAAAAGCTCTAACTAGAGCACATCCATTGTCGACACATTTAGGAACTTTTCTGTGTACATTATCTTAATTTTTAAAAGAAACCGGGAAACAAGGACATAGCAGCATTCAGTGTTAGTCGCAGTGTGAGGAAGCAGAAACAAACAATCAGGGTGCTTCAGCCACTGTAAAGTGCTCAGCGGGAGAAGGAAAACTGATAAGACAGTCTGAAATTAAGAAAAAAGGTCTTGATCCAGCTCCCGCTGAAGTCAACAGCAAGTCATTCAACTACCTCAGTGTGCTTTCCATCAGGCTGCAACTATGCCATACATAAACAAGGCAAAATACACATTCCAGGAGGACAAAAAACATGATCCTACACGGGAAACTACAAGAGTATTGACTCATGGTGACATTTTCTTTGCTGCATTAGTCAACTACAGAGAGATTGGGTGACATGACCCAAAAATACGGGTTTGTCGTTTGGGTTTTTATTTAGCCATTTAATAATTTTGCACAGCTGAATATTTAAGAAGATTTTCACCTTTCTACGGTTATGTTAAAGGAGATGAAGAGGTATCGTGCCAATAAACGCTCAGTTTGCCAAGTGAAGATAATCTCCTTTGGGAGGGTACCGCTCCAGGTGTTCTGTGCAGGATGCAATGTGCCAGTGATTCAACCATTGATTAACCGAGGTCACACAAAAAATGCACGTGGCATGAAAAATTAAATATACTGGGTCTGTGCTGTTATTCTACTGGTGCCAATATGGTGGCACAATTTGGAAAGTATGGCTCTGCAATATTCTTTATATAGACAAGTGAGAAAGAAGGCCCACTTTGTAATGTAACAGTTGAAACTAAACCTATCTACAGTGGTTTGTGTTGGATTATTGGGGGGGGGAGGAGTTCCTTCCTTTTAATAATATTAAACCATGCCACCAACAGAGAAAATGTATTGTTGATTAAATCAATGGTTAAAACAATCTAGGAATGGATAAGGAGCTTTGTTAAGATTTTTTGCAGTGGACTTATGTGTCCAGTATTCTTTTCTTGTAGAGGACATAGCAGATGGGAGAAAGTGGACGCTTACTGTGTAAGAAGAGAAATAGGGCCATGTGTAACTATTACTCCTAGTCAGAGTAGATTTTTTTTTTTCTCTTGGCTAACGTGCACTATCAAAACACTAAAGCATCCTGAAGTGAGGTAAGAGAGGAGGATAAATAGGGTGGGTGAGAAGTGCAATGTATTAAAGAAAGAAATTATGCAGAAGTTCACCTGCTGTTGTCATGATCAAGACATGGAGAAGAGCATCTGCAATAGAGTAGATGATTTAACATCAAAAAGGAAAAGAAAGGGAAAAAAAAGAATGAGTTAAATGAAATACTGAAATATTGGAAAAATGAAACAGATTTCTAAATTAAACACATGAACATATACATATTTATGCATATTCATTACATGTGAGAAGGTAGGAGTGAGTATGGAAAATAAGCCTATGTAAACATCCTTGGTTACAAATGGTTACTACTACTACAGCAGCAAAGCTAGAGTGATCTGGTTTCTCTACATACATTCTCAAACTGGAAGTCAGGTACCCAAAACGTACAGTTAGATTCTGAGTAAATCTTTCAGAACCAGATGAGGGGAAATGCTGCTTGGCTTGGGTACCGACACCTAAAATTTGGACCACGGTATATCAAAGGGTAAGGCATCTAAGGTAATTCCAGCCACTGTTTCTGATAACACAATAAATCACGATTTTGTTTTCTTCAAATTTCCTGTCAATACATTCCATCCTCCGCTTTCTTCCATTTCAACACGTTTCTTGTCCTCCTTTTGTTCTGCACTACAGAGTGACAAATTTCAAACTTTCAGTTTGACCTGTTTAGTAATGTGTCACATGGCCAGTTAGTTTTCTGATGTCGCTTTTTGGTTTTTTTATATATATATATTTCCATTGCCATTTTCTTCCACTGACATGAACAGCAATTTGCTATTAATGAAACACACCTGCTGTTCTTCCTTATCGTAACTTTCCGAATAAAGGTCATAAGGGCTACAGTATGATTTGAAATAATTTAGACTTTCAGATTTTAGAAATGACTATCAGCTGGTCACTGCCAGGTCCTTTTTCCGTAACTATTTCCAGGAAATTAATCTCACATTGGGGAAAACAATATTGTGGATTCAAAATACAACACTTGAAATATATTTTGTTTACCTTGTTAGCAAGGATCCAGTCTCCTTTTTTGCAGACATGCAGCTAAGAATGATAATTCACATTATTTATCACAGTTCGAGCTGCCCACTCCCTCATACTTCTCCCTTTTTCAGTGGTGGAAGCAACAACCTCCAGAAAGGTAAATTCACTAATAATATCCCAACTGTTTAATTTTGTCAGATACAAGTACTGATACACTCGGATCATCTATTAGTCAAATAGGGACTTCATCAAATTATATAAAAGAAATCAGTATCTTTCATTAAACAGTTTTACTGTGAGCAAGTCAGAGTTGGAAAAACTGCAGAGCTGCTACATATCTTGCTCTAGAACACAAAAGCAAGTTAGTATCAAAGCATGAACTCGAAGCTCCTTCCTCACAGTGCCATGTTCCTGACAATATGTCAGATTTGCCTCTCTTCTTATCTACCATACCTTTACATATTTCTCAGTAGAATTCTTAGAAATAGAATCTATACAACTAAATTGTGGAAATTTTTTTCACTGTATCAGCAGAACCCAGGTATGAAAACAACGTAATTTTGCACATAATTTATACTTTAAAATCTTACAGTCAGCCTTATCTTTACCATTCACGCTTAACTACTGTGGGTGATAGAGACATAAGAATATGACACTGTCGAGCGATGTCTAAATGCTGCAAGTGAAAAGAAATCTTTCAGTTCAGTGGTTTTTTGCCTTCCAACTTAATGAAAATATATGTGTTCTCCCACAATAGGATATTGTGAGGTATGAGATTAAAACTGTGAAACGCGTTTGCATTTATGTAGGCATTAGTTCTGTAGTTCTTTATTACGCTGCAGCAGGAAATTATACGTAATATCCCCTAATATTACCAGCAAAGCGATAAAACTCTATCTTATTGGATATTTAGCACCCAAGCTTTCTGGCATATTCAGAGATCCTTAACTTTGCTCAATATGTAAGAACAGACAGTTTTATCAGGAGAAGCAAATCAGATTTTCTGAAAGGAAGTTTCAATGCAGGAATTTATACTTCTCCCTTCAGCCAATGTATGAAACTATTCGGAAACTGTTAGCTGTGTAAAATGACCAGGAGATGTTTATGTTGAGATTGTGAGCACCAAAAGAGTGTTATCTCTTAGGAGATAATTTTTTTCTTCTTTTCGAAATGGCTGCCAAAGACTCTGACCAAACATCTTGCTTTTCTTTCCTTATTGATGAAATTATTGACATATTGAAACAATAGTTACATTTAAATTTGAAATGGATGGTTAAAACATTTTCCCCTTCTGAAATTTCAGACATAGGAGCAGTTTTGCTTAGTTATGCAAAGGCTGAAATACATGCCTGTGAAATTCCACACCAAGAGAACGGTTCTCTATAAATTCATCCTTTTGCTTGGGGGTGTTACACTGTGATCCACAGAAACACTTCCCTAACACTGGGAGATCAGTAAGAACCCAACGACAAATTGGGGTTAGCCACTGAAGTAGTGCAGGGAGAGAATGGTGTCATGTTTTTCTCAGATTGCACAGAATACAAAATTAAGATCATCTGTGCCAAATAAATTACTGTCCAATACTTTGCTGATGTGTTACTTTAGAAAAACACAGTCTGAATTCCATACATTTCCAGCGTCTTGGGCAAAACCAAGGCCATACCCTTGCTTAAAGCCACTAGCAGTGTTCATAGAGGATTTCTTTTCAAACACTACGAGTTTTCTTTCATGACAGATATATACTACTTCAATGCATGCACCTGAAATGTCAGCAGGGTTGCTAGTTTATAAGTGCGTGTCTGTGTAGGAAGGAGGGTGTAGGTGACGAGAGGGGTATAAATGACTGTTGTTCCAGCTAAGTGAATGCAACAATCATGCACACAGTACTTCCACAATTGTTTCACTTTTAAAATAAGGTCTTAAAAGCGAAACTCTAAACAAGATGCACCCCTAAAGTTTATGATAACTTAATGACTCAGACAAATCTAAGCAAGATAAAAATGTAGTGTTGTACAGTCTTTTCCAAAGGCTAAGTAATCATTATTACAGGTTTCTTTATTACAATATTTAGTGGCAAGTTAGTTGGTATGTATAAAAAGAAGAACATAATTTGTGTCGTGTTAAATGTCATTATTTCATACAAGGCTGCAGAGAGTGTTGCTCCTATTAAAATCAGATATTCTTATCCTACCACTAGCATCCTGGTCATCCAAAAAGGTCTAAATATCACTAATATTTTTTAAAAGAAAAACACAAAATGATTGCACATCCAAGAAATAAACGCCACTCTTCTCGAAAGTATTTAGTTCATCCTCTGCAATCACTGGAAAGACCTACCTTTCTGAAAGTGAAAAGTAATACATCCTTTGGAAAAAGTCTGTAAACTATTTAGGGTTAGAATAAGCCACCAAAACAATTTTAAAGCTTACATACTGGCCTGTATATAAACACATACATACTGTACACATTAAGTATTTTAATTGAATTTGTTAGTTTTAGAGCTCAGGAAAAGCAAATCCAAACACCACTGGTCACAGCCAAATATCCTTCTACCAGCTAACAAACTTCTCGTATATGTCACAAATCAGCCAATTTGCAATCGCCGTTATGGCAACACTGTTCCTCTTCTAGACCAGGACTGCCTGTCATTCCGAATGGGACTCCAGTGATATTTTTTGAAAGATACGGACTGTAAGATTTTTTGCAAACTCATTTGAGATTAACAAAAAAAAAAAAAAAAAAAATATCTTTCTCCTTGTGATGTCCAGCCATGCTGCATACAATGTAGCTCCAGAGAAATGAAATGCTTTTTCATGACATCAGTTTCTTATGAATTCACCTCCACACGCCTCATCAAATCTGACAGCAGGACATAAGCACAGAATTCAGTGTAAAGAATAAAATTACTTAAAACTTAGTAAGTAAGACAAATGCACAGTAAGACAAGTGCATTAAAACAAATGCACTCACAGATTTTGAGGCCAACCAGGATAAGCTTTGTAAGTATGAATTTGGCTGGGCCTGTGTTTTTGCCTGTCTTACTCCATTTTAATGAGCTTCCCTAAATGCAAACGCTTACAAAGTGTCAGTTGTGAGAATACGCAAACATAGTGGCCAAACATGTGTAAAGCACATCATGTTTAGGTTGCTTGTCTATTACACAGTTCATGTAATTTAAAATCCTTGGTTTCTTTTTTTAGTTATCATGACAAACACTAGAGTTGGTGCTTACCTAAACCACTTCACTAGCATAGGAAGTACTCACCATCTGGAGTGATTAGGCCCTTGGCCTCAATTATTACTAACTTTAAAAAGGCACTGTATTTATTTCTCTGTAAACTTCACACGTTTACACACAAACGCATGTGTGTATGTGTCAAGTATCTCATTCGTTCCTCTTGAATTTGACTGAAAGCTCGCTGGCATCAATTCACTGACTCGCAGTGATTTCAGTGGATAGTCTTGGTACTCAGGCTTGCTTGATTGTCAGAGCTTAAGAGATCATAACAATTTATTGACAGCTCTAGGAGGCAAGGAATTAAAATATAACTCCTAGTTAAGCATTAGTTGAAGCTGCTGCCACTGCAGGTATTCTGTTTCTCTTTTTTTAGTATAATGCTAATTGATACACTCACCCTGAATGAATAGGGCTGGAAGAAAGAGCCACATTGTCCAAGGTTTCAGGGCCCCAGCTTAAGCGATATGAATTCCTTTCAGCTTCTTTGGCCAGAGTTGTTACCTTGGTAAGCAAAAAACCCTCCTTTTTACTACAATAAAATCAATTAATCAAGCAAACAATAAGAAGATGTATTTTGCATAGTAGTACCTACAGCGTTAAAACTTTTTTCAAAAAGAAAACAAAGGAGTAATAATAGCATTAAGATATTAGAAACCCCTTATTGTAACGTTTTGTACTTGCTCAAAGTAATCATATGCTAGTGGTCCCAGTGAAATGAATGCTGTGATCTACCAAAGTGGCATTTCCTAAATCTTCTTTTTTAACTACAAGCATGCTTCAGGATAGTATCTTTGAGGACAACGGCCTTGAGTTCAATAGATCACCTGAATATTTAGCCCAATGGCTGTCAGCATCATGCAAAAATCAGTTAAAATGGAGAACATTCCAAAGACAGTCCCTGTACTATATTCACACAGCTTTATCCCTTTACTTTGGAATAGAGTTTAACATTGCATAGCAGAATATGCCATTAAATATCAGTGAAAATTAGAGAGATTTATATTAAAATAAAGAAAGCAGCATACCTAACATGGTATCATTAGCACAATCTAAACTGTAATCTTTTTATATTTCCGTATTTATCCAACTGATAAGTGAACTTAAGAGAATTTGCTTACCTGCTGGCTGGGGATTACAACCGTATCGTCAATCATGGCACTGTCCCTCAGGTAGGAGGCATGGCTCAATGTGTGGGACCTGTCTGAACTGAAGGATCGCAGGCTGGTAGGTTGGTAGGATGCCATAGCAATATATCAGCAGTACAGATGATGTTGTAAAGGTGTCATGATAGATCGAGTGGGAGAATGAAAAAAGCGTGCTATTAGCAATATGATGCAGCTTCCAGGGGGAGTAGATAATAGGCACGGGGGAAAAACAGAGCTTTACAAATCTGTGTTATGCTACCTTTCTGACCAAGGGCCACAAAGTCTTTTGTCTGACCTATTTGCTTCAAAATGCAGAACCTAGAGATTAATCTAGATGACAGTTTATTTTATACTCACAAATACTTTATACTTGGCTTTGTGGCATGACAGTTTCCTTATAATAAAGAGCATGAATTTCTTTTAAGTAACTTCTCTTTGGAGAAGTTCTCTCTCCTGCTACGTCACACAAGCAAACTGCTACAGAAAACCAGAATGCTAACATCCGAGGAAAAGCTGAAATTACTCTTTCTGAAGCTTTGTTATGATCTACTCTCTCCCCTTGAAACTGTAAGTAAGCAAGCTTGATATTGTCCCCTGGAAGGTACACACAGCCAGGTGAATTGTGGCCAGCCGCATGCTCCCGTGTAAAACAAAATTCCTCCTCTGTATGCCAACAGCATCTTTAGAGAGGCAGTCCAAATGCGAGCACTGTTTTCCTTGTAAGTACGCACAGCTCTACAGAAAACTGGTTGCTGTAGCAATGAGAGATGCAAGGCAGTAAATAAGCTGCTTCCAAGCACTGGCTCAGAATGTAACTGCAGTATCCACTAGCAAAAAGCAAAAAAAGACAAATAAGATACCACAGAAGGACATATTGAGGTAAATGGGGTTTCTGCTACCAAATAGCACTAGTTTGGTCCTTTCAATATTTACTAGCAGCAGTATTACAATAGTGATTTTTGAAAAGAGATCAACCACCTTCAGATGTTGTACGTGTACTCTGTGATGTTGTTCTGTACCTTGAGGAATATAATACATGTAACTGAAGGAAGCAGTTTTATTTTCGTGGCTTACACGTCCATGAGTAGTACTCGTAATGACTAACCCACTGGATCAGAACAATAGGCCATTTATCTAGATACATAGATTTTTAAGGGATAATTCATTTTCAGCAGTTAGTAATAAAAGTCATGTGTACATTATGGACACGAGATTCAAGTGCTTTAAATGCAGATCTCATTGGAAATCATATTTTACCGTCTGATTCAGACCAGTCAGCCTTTTTTAGCAATAGCTACATTCACACAATGATTTTTTTGATCCATTTTTAGAAGCAAATGGTTATCTTCCTTTTATTAGAAATATATGACACTGAAGAATAATCAATGATCATTGACTTACACCAATGGCCTATTTCGCATACTAGATGGATTGTACAAAACTGAAAGCAAAGAGAAGTATTACACAAGTATCAGCCTTAGGGAAGTCTTGAGGAAAAACCAAACCGACAATAAATAATCTCTCTTACACGTCATGAAATGTCTTTCACCCAGACAAGAGGAAGAGGCGAGACGTGTAAGGCTGATATTTAGTGTATTATTGGGATTATACATTTCTGGAATAAAATTCTGATTCCATTAAAACAACCAACAAAATTTCAATAGGGACAGAAGTTCACCCTAACTGTCTGCATATAACATTTCAGAAGAAAATTATGAAAAGGAATCTTGACTGAAGAGTCCTTTGGTTAAACATTTTAGTGTGAATTGGGTAGGCAGAGTACACCTTGCTTGTTCGTAACAAGAGTACGTCAGTGAACACGTGTTCTTTGGTTAAAAAATAAGCCTCAGTAGCAGACCCCATTTGCCATCATTATCCTTCATTCATTTCAACGTTTGACACTTTCAGAACCGCTCCGCTGTGCCATGCAATGCTTGTAAGAGGTTCACCATCCAAGTTGTAGGTTCTGCTATTCAGCTAATGTCATGTCCTGGATAGACACTTAATGAAAGGAAGTATGTACTAGATTTGACCGGTTATCTGTGTGGTGATTTTGTCCATATTCCCCTGCAAGTACCCGGCACTGCTACTACCACCACTACAAGCAGCCCAGTGCATCTCCACTATGTAGTACCTGTATGTAAGCTCCAGTAAATACCCGATACATTGAGGGTACGGATTTGTCTACAGGCAAGGTATGCACAAGCATGATTGAGGTCTGCGGGAAATCAGAAGTTTAAATTTCCCACTACACTTCATTTCAAAACTAGCGTTCAGATGACACTGCCCCTCTTCTGTGTGCTGTACCAACTAAATGAAGAGCAAACCAGCAGTTAAGGTCTGCGCTTCTGAGACTTAGAAATAAAGGTACTGACTGAAACGATAGTCCAGTTACAGAAGTGTAGGGGCACCGAACAGAACTTATTGTTTATTACTGTAATAAGTCTTCAGGAATCCTGTAAAAAAAATAAAACCCTAAATCACAGAGCCAAAACTAATGTCTAAATACAGATTCTTTCCAAATCTGGTTGATAAATCTTAAGTCACAGGGGTTCTGGGGTCAATAGCACTCTACTCAGCCTCAGAGACTGAGCTGTGGAACCCAGGAATGCTACAAAGCTCCTGAACTGTGTCTTGCCCACGTTAGGTAATGCACAGGCATGTATCATCCACCTCTTCTAAGCCCTGAATAAAGCCCAGGCGGTATCCAGAAAATAAGAGCCGCATACTCTAGCCAAGTTCTAATCTGGATGACGGGGAGACCATGTTGCAGTACACATCCACTTGCCAGCCTAGACAGAGCTCTAGCAATCTCTAGCCCCGCTGAGTGTATCTGTTGTTGTGGGAAATATATGTTGTTTCAGAAGCTGGGTAAAGAACCTGGTGTCACTGAAAACTGTATAAATCAACCTTGAAAATGTTGCTCTATTTAAAGACTGAAAGCCTTCCTCACACCTGTCACAGACCAGAAAGGTGGAAAGGATTTACAATGAAATGGAGTCTTTTCAAATACTGGTGATGTGATATGGCCCGAATCAGTTCTGGTTCCCAATATCCAGAGGGAGAACCCAGCTAGCGTAGTCCATGCTCTTTATTTTTTTATTCTACCACTGTTTCTCCACACAGAGAAGGAAAATGGCTAGCCTTCCCAGCAGCACGGTGACAGAAGGACAGCTACCAGCTGTTGTGATCTAGTGCAACCTCCCTGATCCTTGCTAACATATCTGTACAGGAATCAGGGAAGTTTCTGTGGGACAGTGGCTATATCACACCGTGACCGTGGCTATATCGTCCACCGTGGGTTGACGGTTGGACTCGATGATCTTGGAGGTCTCTTCCAACCTTAATGATTCTATGATTCTATGATTCTATTCTAAGACCTTTCTAGACAGACAGTACCGTTGGATCGGTATTCACCACTGCATATCACACTCATTTGAGACTATAACTATCTCCACCAGCAGCGTCGTTCATTTGGTTCTCCAAATCAACTTTCTGGCGTACAGCAGGCCTTCAAAATGGATGAATGGAGACAGGTGCCATAAAAGGATATAGAGACAACATGTTTTCATGCTATGTAATACCTACCTGGGCATGGTGCTAATGAAAGCATATGAAAAAGAATGAAGGGGAGAGAGAAATAAAATAAATAGGGAAGATGGTTACAAAAGAAAAAGATATGCTCTTAAATCAAACTGTTTAATGCATAAGATCACATGAGTCTAGACTGCTAATACTATTTTGCTTTACTGAATTTCTTGAAAAATCAAAGTCAGTATAATGCAATGAAAATCACACTAAAGCAAAAGCAAAATAATTTAAGCAGTCTCTGTGAAAATTCTTACAACCAGTAACCTGACAGTGACAGAAAATGAGACCATGGAGTTAGAAAGATGTACTTTTTTCTTTCCTTCTTTCTCCCTCTATAATTTTGCTTCATTTCAATATAATCATGCTTGATACAGGTTGTGAAATAATTTTCATACAACACAAAATAAAACACATCAATTACATGCCAGTGAAAATCTACCGAAATCCACTGACAGTATTTAAAAGCTAAAATATTCTAAATGGGAGCAGAAACTGGCTTAACACTTGCCTGCACAATCATTTCTATATAACGTCTTAAAATTAAAAAAAATTAAAACTTTGTTACCATTGAAAGCACGTGATAAGAGGTTTTGATTTTTAACCATTCTGATATAGTTCATAAACATCCTCTAAGACTTAAAAAGCCACACAGTCACTTTGTTTTCAGTGGATTCACTGGAGCTGTCGAAAAACCAACAAAGACTCCAAGCTCATAAGACCTGAATGATGAGGGATTTACACATGCTGTGAGGCAAGCCGAACTGTTTCCTGACATCTTTTGTTCCAGGAGCAATTCATAGCCTACTGAAGTAAACAGAATGGATCCTACTGATTTCACTGAGCTTCGGAAATGCTGCCAGAATAACAATCGAGACTGGAAAATGAGGTAGGTTAAAAATTCCTTCTGTTGCCAAGATCTCAACTTTTTCTTTTTTTTTCCCCCCTTGAGCGAACCCCAATTCTAAAGGCAGTAAGTCTGGAGACGTTACTGATTTACACTAGACATTGTCATTTTCA